GGCCTCCCAAAGTGCTGGGATTACAGGCTTGAGCCACCGCGCCCGGCCAACTTGCTGTCATAAGCCTTTGCTCATGGCACTATAGAAATGGTAAGCTATATATAAGGCTCAGGCTTGGATGGATAAGCCCCTAAGGCCAAGCAATAATTGTAGGGATTCTTCTTTCCAGGAGATGCACAGAGGCTTCCCACAAGGCAGAGCAGCGAGTAGAACACACAAGTGCTAGGCATCCCGGCACCTCCACTATTGCTTGCTTTCAAGGGAACTGTGTGTGCTTCATGAACCCCCAGGCTGTGTCTTCACTTGGCCTTAAGTTTTTGTTCCATGTTCTTGCAATCTCACTGTGCATATGAATTGATACCAGGATCATTGATTATACAATGATTATAATTTTATGTATTTGCTTACAGTGGGGAAACCATGGCAGTTTCGAATAAAAAATCAAAGGGAAGACTTGGGAGCTTTTTGATACATTTGATCAGTGTAGTCAGCCAGTCCAAATGGATCATGCTCCCCAACAGATTACCTTAGCTAACTTAACTTTCAAAATGTTAGCTAACTTAATATTCATTTAGCTAATTTAACATCATAAATGTACTAGGGCATTACAAAACATTCTCTGCTGTTGCTAAGTGATCATCATTTATTAAGCAACTGCTATTCAGAAAAGCCTCTATCTGGATTTAGACACACTATGAAAGTAACCCCTCACCAAATATATCTACCTCCATGTCAAAAGTCTTTAGCATGCCACCTCTTACATATGCCTAAAATTGCATTTCTTTGTTTCTCAGCATCTTCTTCAACCAGAGGACGGAGTCAAACACGAGGTGAGTGCCGTCACTGGGTTCAGTCCAATTCATTCGACAAGTATTTTCTGAGCAGCTAATGTGTGTCCAGCCTTGAGCCAGGGAGTGTAAGGAGTACAGAAGAATAAACAAGGCATGCTTTCTGCTTTCAAGGAGCTTAGAGAATCCTGGGAATCTTCCGCCCGGCTCTATCGGGAGGGGAAGGGTAGCTTTTGACGATAATCTAACAAGCACATAGAGGCAGGAAGCAAAACACATGATAACAATGTGGAGCATCATTTGTCTTGCTGTGGATCATCTGAAGATGCAGATACCACATCTGCTTTCACTTCTGGTCTCCTGGCTGACTTTAACAAGATATGCTCTAATTGCCTTTACACATCAAAAGATGAGCAAAATCCCCCCAACCTTTTTTTTCGAAATTCATCCAGGAGATAAACAGCTCCAGGACAGTTTTGTAATCTAGTCATCTAGACAATGATACAGGAGAGAAATACAATCCTGGGAGAAGCAACCCTTGCTAAACTTTGGGCAGGTTTGGGGGCAGCATGTTAGGGCTGAGCTGAAGGCAGAATTCTTCACAATGACCCACCTAGACTTCCTATGGGCCTTATTATCATCAATAACTTGGAAGTTAGGAGTATGCCAACCACCCACAACTTTAGGCTGATAGTTGAAAGATGCAAATTCTCCACCTGAAGCTAACTAATAATGTTAACTACCAGCTTCCTGCCCCTCCCATCTCTGAAGAAGCCAAAATGGCAAGTAAATACTGGTTTTTAGAATCTTTTGCCAATGCCTGAGACCACGGAGGCAGGAGAGAACCTTGGTTGTGGCAGCCGTGAGGTGGATGATGGGGAGAGGGTTGATCATTGCTGATTGTACTGGAATCTCCTTGCTCAGCCTGGAATTTTATTAGAACATCTGCAGCTGCCTGGGAGGTGTGCAGTTGGCAGAATGGGGAATTGTTGGAGGTACGGAGGTCTCCCTTTTTAAGCAGCACTCTTCTTGGGCACACCTAGATTTCCTGTTTCCAGAACTCAGAAATGTCAGAGCAGCCTAAAGGGTCATCTGCTGCTAGGAGTTCAGTGTCAGGGATTGTGATCTAAGCTCCTTCATTCACACCCTTCTCTATCTCTTCCCTTGTACAGAGAGCGAAATTCGAGTTCGACTGCAGAGTGCGTCCCCATCCACGCGATGTAAGTGGTCATGATCTCGCTGAAAAGAAAGGGTCCAGAAATCCAGGGCTAGTGCTGTGTGTGTGTGTGCATGCGTGTGTGTGTGCATGCATGCACATACATGTGTGTGCATGCATGCAATCATAAAACATCTTTAAGGGCCTTCTGTGAATTGGACTCTGGGCTAGGTGGCTGGAGTTAAGCTGCTGAGTAAACCGTGGTTCCTGCTGTGTAGTAGTTCACAGACTAATAGGGAGACAGTAAGTCAGCCAACCATCACAACTCAGTGTGGTGAGGGAACAAGGAGGAGCAGCTCCACAGCAGCCCATGGAGATCAGGCCAGAGAAACCTTCCGGGGGTAGGTGTTACCTGAAGGGAAACTGAAGAGTGGATCAGTTCGGCTCAAAGGGAGGAGCCTGCACAAGACATCGAAGGAACAGTTCAAAGTAAGGTTCAAAGTAAGGACACAATGGGATAGATTAGAGAAGGGTCAGTAGTAGAGTGTAAGAATTCAAACTTTATTTCAAATGTCAGAGACCCCATCTCTGTCGATGGAATATGTTAGATACCTGATGTTCTTGCTAGAGGTATTTGACAATGTTTTGAAATGAGCTCAACTTTAGGACAGCAATCATGTAAAAGGAGTAGGAGAAGAAAGAGTAGGGTCAGTGGCTCAGGACAGAGATGGGTGCTTGTCCAGAGAGCTCAGTACCTAGGGTTGTGGAATCTGACTCCAGGCCTGACACCTTCTCACCTGAATCCTTCCAGGCTTAGGGTTGGTGAGGCGAAGGGAGTTGGGGCTGAGAGTTGCTTCAGCATACGGTGTCTACAAACCTGTGTCTCCTCTCATGCACTACTCATGCATGGTGTCTCCCACCTCTCCTGCTTCCCTGCTTCCTGTGTGGGAGGCACAGGGAGCTTGCTCCACGTTTCACCTTGCTACAAATTAAATCAGCCAGACAGACTTGGAATTAAATTACACGTGAACACAGCATAATGTTTAGGAGTTATGGCCCACAAATTCCTTTTGACAGCCCCAAGCATACAAGGTCAAGGACCCAACATCAAGGATCCTGCACAGGGGATGAGACTGCTATTGAAGCATCTATTTCAAGGGACCTGGTTCTCTAACTGCCTGATCCTAGATGATAGTGTCTTCTAGCCACAGAATCATTCCTGTGATGTTTGATGTGGTCTAATTAGGAAGTATCTCCCAAGCACCTTGACCTCCTGTGAGACGCAGAAGTTTTATGAGGCTAATATGACAAAGTACCAAGTTGATAAGTGCTATCCGTTAGTAAAATGTGAATATTATAAAGCCAAGCAAAAAGTCCCAATGTGTGAGACAGATGCCATTCTCCCTAATAGTCAGAATACCACAAATGTTCCCCAAATTGCACAGGGACTCAGGAAAGAACACTGGACTTAACAGAAACATCTGTGGATTCTTTTACAGGGACAGAATTGGATGATGTTAAGCGTTTGCTCAAAGGGAGTCGATCCGCAAGTGTGAGCCCCACCCGGAATTCCTCCAACACACTCCCCATCCCCAAGAAAGGCACTGTGGAGACCAAAATTGTGACAGCGAGCTCCCAGTCGGGTAAGTCTGACAGCCCAGCTGCCGAGGAGTGTGAGAAACAAACTTACCCCTCCAAACCCAAAGAATGGACTCAGAGACCCAGAGAATAGTGAAAGTGAGACTTGAAAATGGGGCCCACCAAACCTCATTCCAGCTAGCACAGGGCTTTCCCCAGTAGCAACCAGTTTTAGGGCATAGATATTTGTTTGCTTGTGACAGCTGCCTTTGGTTTCCTAAGTTCCCACAATGTAAGACTCGGCAGGCATTGAATTTTATGGTTTAGGGGATAGAGGTTTTAGTTATGTTGATTATTAGATTGGTTGGATATTCCCTACTTTCCACCCCTAGTATTGGGCTCTATCCAATACTCAGGCCTTCTTTTACCCCTTGTGTGAAGATTAATCCTAACCATATCCACCCCTAATGAAGGGGTTTGCTTATAGCTCTCTTCTAGGTTTTCCTTAACGTTAGCTTTAAATGTTACTTAGGTGATTTATACACTTTCCATTTGTCCTTTTCCCTTCCTTCTGGGGTTTCTTTTACCAGTCCCTTGAGAGTTACGAGTTCACCCTCGTTCAGCTGTTTGCACTGACGTTTCAGTGGTTAGGACCACTTGATAGGGACCTTGCCAGCTTGGGTGGGGCTTATCTTCTTTTAAAGTCTTAGTACCCAGTTGCCAGGCTGGAAGTGGTGAACTGTGAATTCAAAAGGCGGGGTTTGAGTTTGAAGTCCTTTTAACCTAAAGGATGACAGGGTGGAGGATATGGCAAGTATATAATTTCTAAAAATTGGTTTTTGGTTTCCATAGAAGGAAGATCAGTAGTCCTATCTAAATGTGGGAGTCCATATAATAACTTGTAAGGGGACAGTCCCAAGTCTTTGCCTGGGGCTGTTCTAATCCTAAGGAGTGCTACTGGGAGACATTAAAGGCATTTTAGTTGTAAAGATTAGTTTAATAATATGCTTTTTGAGAGTTTTATTTATTCTTTCTACTTTTCCAGAGGAAGGGGGATGCCAAGGGGTGTGGTAATCCCATTTAACGTGTAAACTTTCCATAATTCCCCTTAGCACCTTTGAGGTAAAGTGGCTCCCATTGTCTGAATGAATATTTTTTACCAAGACAAATCTAGGTATAATTTGTTTTAAGATTATTTAGACCACGTTCCCAGCGGTGGCAGTTGGGAGGGGGAATTCCTCCACCCAGCTGGAGAGGTGGTTTACCAGTACTAGTAGATACTTCAGTCTCCCTATTTTGGGCATTTCTGTAAAATTTACTTGAATGCTTTGAAATGGCCTTGACCCACGAGGTCTTCCTCCGGTAGTCTGTTTTCTAACTACTTTTTAATTTATTCTCTGGCAGGTTACATAACACCCACACACTTGTGTGGCAAGGGTATAAATCCCTGTACACCCATCATTTTTGAGTATTGTATCACACATGGCCTGGGGACCCCAGTGACTTCCTTTATGCAGTATGGACATCAGTTTTCTCATCATGGGTTTGCTTATCATTTCTCTCTCACCAGGGAGCACCCGCCTCCCATCCTCAGTTTGAGTGGCCCCTATCTTGCCCAGCTCTTCCTCCTCCTCTTTAGAAAATTTGGGTTTTAATATCACCTTAGGGATATTTGGGATTAGGCTAAACAATCTAACTTCTTCCTCCAGGGAAGCTTGCTTAGCAGCTTTATCTGTGAGCCTATTCCCTACAGCTTCTATAGTGTTTCCTACGGCTATCTCTACAGGAAGCAAAGGGCTTTTTAAAACTTGTTTGATCAGTTCCCCATGTACGAATTCTTTCTCCCTGCTGTTTATTAGGCCCCGCTCTGTCCAGATCTTTTTAAAGGTGTGTACTATTCCATAGGCATATTTGGAATTAGTATATACAGTGCCTTTTTGGCCTTCTAGAAGCTTTAGGGCCTGGTTAAGAGCATGTAATTTACAGGTTTGGGCTGACCAATTATTGGGTAATCTCCCTTTTTCACATAAGGATTGTTTCCATTAATGACAGCATAGCCATTGTGTTTTTACCATTTATTACTTGGAATGACCCATTTACAAACACTCTCATCCCATCATGTACTGGGGTGGCTTCACGTTAGTTTGATATGAAGGTCTGGTTTCACTTTAGTTTGACATTCTATGATATCCAAACAGTTATGATTTGATGCCTCTTTATTCTCCTCTCCTTTTCATAAGACGCTGGCTGGATTCAAGCAAATACATGTTGTCAAGACTAAATTATCTTTTTCTAATAATATGGCTTCATATTTTAAAATTTGGGAATTAGTTTACTATCTCCCAACTCTTTGATTTAATATATTCCTGACCTGATGTGGGGTGCTCACTACCAGGGCCCTGCAGAAGATCAGCTTCCAACTCCCCTCCACCAGCAGGGCCGTGGCAGCCACTGTCTACCTGCACCTTTGTCTCCCCATCTCCCGTCTTCCATGGCCCCTCTCTCTTTCTCTGTCTCTCTCTCTTCCTCTCGTACTCTTTTTTCCTTTTACATTATCTCTCTCCCCAGTTTCACCTTCTGTGTCTTTGATCTCTGTCTTTTCCAGTGTCTTTCTCGCTTATTTTCTTTCTTTTATCTCTCTGTCTCTGTCATCCCTGTTTCCTCTTTCCCTCACACTCAGTTTCTTCCTCTTTCTCTGGGCGCCAGCGCACTCGCCATGTTAACAGCTTACTTACGTTAGCTCTCTCACACTGTCCACCTTTATCTCATGCTTCCGCTCTGCGGCTCCTGGCGCCCCCACACCTGCAGCTGCACAGCTGGCTCCCCCTTGCTTTCAGAGTCAGCAGCTTAACTCTTTCTCTCTCTGGGCACCAGCATGAGCCATGCTGTGGCTCCCCTCTGTCTGTCTGCAAGATGGACAGCTTTGGCTTTCTCTCTCTTTTTCTAATTTCGTTTCTTACTTTTAACAAAAACCTTCTAATTCCTTACTTGACTTTTTATTCCATCCATCTTTTCTTTTTTCTTTTTTTCTTTTTTTTTTCTTTTTTTTTTTTTTGCGGTTTCTTGGTAATATCAGGCCAGCTTTTGGTCATAAAATTAACCTTTAAAAAGCCTTGCCCTACTAGGTCCTCTGGATCTAATCCTGATTTTTTTTTTTTTTTAAATTTGATCCCTGAGCCTCTGCAGAAATGCAGAGGGAGTCTCCTCTTTTTCTTGTTGGAGCTCGAATGGTTTTGAGACATTCTGTGTCCTTGAAGTGGACTCTTTAATCCCTTTAATTATTCTTTCCCTTAGGTCCTGCATTTGGGTCCAATCTTTGGGGTTATTGTTATTCCATCTGGGATTTGCATTTAGGAATTTCTGCCCAGCTGGCTGGACTCCTTGCCCGAGAGGGTGCTGTCTCTCCCAAATGCTCATGGTTGCCCTTTTAATTATTCCCCTCTCTTCCGCAGTAAACAGGATAGTCATGATTGACATCATCTTAGCCCAAGTACAAAAATTGGGTCCTAAAAATTGATCTAGCTGCTTTGCTAAACTGAGGAATTTTTCCAAGAGCGGCCTTATTTCCTATTTAAAATTTCTAACATTAGTACTTGTTAGAGGCACACTTACATATCCAACTTCTCCCTGTCCCATAGGGACTTCTCTAAGAGGGTACATATTAGACATCTGCTGTTTAGAAGGACTAGGGAAATTCTCAATGTCCTTCTTACGTTGTTCTAATTCTTTCCTTAAGTTTGGATAAGGATTTACGGGAGCATTGGGTTTAGCTTCTTTATGACCCCCAGATTCCTCTTCCTCCAGCCTTCCTGTTAACCCCTGATCTCCCTGTCCTCTACTTTGTGAGATGTAAGGTGGAGCTAAGTGTGTTATGGGATCCCAGGGCTTTTTATTGGGCAAGGGCTTTTTACTATGCTCCTTTTTTCCTCTTGAAGGGGGAGTATGGGGGTTAATTCACTAAATTAACAAAGAGCATAACCCATCTCCTCTTGTGAGGATGGGGTTTTATTATTCACATAGCGAATTAAAGCTTGGCACACCCAGTCCTCATCTGAGCCAAACTTAGGCCAAAAGACTGAAGGCTGACGAATGGGCTCTTTGGCCCAGATAAAACAGTAATGCTTTATCATTTTTTGCTTTTCCTTGTCCCTGGTTCGAGGGTTAGCCCTTAAAACCCTGCAGCATTTTCCCCAGTGGACTATTTGGGGGAATGTTAGAGGGTGTATTTTTAGTTCCCTCTTTTGTTGGGCAGGGGCTCTAGGTGTTTGTTTAGGGTTGTCTTGCTGCTTTTTGTTGCAGTCCACAATGCATTGCAATCCTAGTTCGCTTAGGGACTCTTCAAGTTTTTGACTTATGACCTAAGTAGCTGAGCAAGCTGATAAGAACAGACAAAACGAGCTATTTTGCAGTCGAGTAAACTTTTATCTTAGACTAAACTTATTTGGTTTGAGTGAGGGAAACTAAGCAGGATGGGGGGCGGGGAGGAACTGGTGAGGGAGGGGAGACCAATAAGCAGGCATTAGCTATCCAAGCAGGGGCCTAGTATATTCTGTTTCTTCTGTAGTTTGCTGACCTAAGCCAATTTAAGACACTTTGTCTTGGAAATGGACCACTGTATACATTATTTTCTTCAGAAGGGAAGGCATCAAGGTGGCAGATCTATCCTGGCCTGGGGATTCAACCACATCTTGGCAGGCCTTTCAGGCTTTGCCAGAGACCTTGAAAAGCACTGAGCATCTGCTCTTCAAGCAGTGAAAAATGTGGGCTGTACCTATCCTACCCCTGGCTGGTCACCCATTCCACATGCACAGCCCAGCCCTAAATCCTAGAGACTGTCTCCCAGGACAGTATGTTGGCCAGGTCCCCCAAATGAAGAATATTGGGGAAATTTGTAGAGTTTTAATGTATTCATTCAGTGACTATTTATTAAATGTCTCCTCTATGCCAAGCACCAGGCATTGAGGAAAAGCAATGGACCAGAGAGACACAGTCACTGCCCTTGTGGACAGTGGGTCTCTGGAGGAAGTCAGAAAACCAACATGTCCCGATCAAGTAAGATGAGCATTGTTTAGCAGTTCCATATTACATGCCCCCCAAGTGCAAGGTAGGTTCTGTGGGAGGCAGAAATATAAATTAGCAAAGTCGTGGAGGGAGGTGAGGGAAAAAGCCAGATCTACTGTGATAGGAAACTTCCCTCCCATTCACTACTGGAGAAAAGCCTAGAGATTGTGATCTTTCTTGTTTTTCACCCTAAAACCAAAACGTCAAGGCACTTTCTGACCTGCATGACTGGCTCCCTCTCACAGACAAATAAGCAGAACTGGCCCCAGATATGAAGAAGCAGGAAAATCCCCTCTTGGGGGCACAGTGTCTGGCTGGTTCATAGGGATGTTTAAGGAGGGTGGAACCAGAGAAGGCTGCCATGCATGCTATGTGGCCCCAGACCAAGGGCTCCCCTGCCCAGGCATGCGCCCTGCAATGGCCATGGTGCCTGGAATTCTACTGAAAGAGGTTCGCTTCGGGGTCTCATTTGTTGCTCCTGAAAGAACTGTTCTCTCAGTGTCTTTGTAGATGGAGCACTCAGCAGCAGGTGGAGAGGAAGGCCATTGGTGGGACAGCCCACCAGGAGATGGGGAGCCAGGTTTAAAAGGAGAAATGGGTGGACCCCAAGGCAAAATATGGCTACCTCAAATTTCACCAGGAGCCAGCAGAAATTTCTAATGCAAGAGATAATGTTTTCACCAGCTCTGAGATCTCGGATGGAAACTACCCCAGGTTCCCAGACTGAGAGAGTTCCTGAAATGTGGAACTTCCAATGCCCAAACCGGGAAAGTCCCAGAAAAGTGTGGTGACTAGATTCCCCAGCAGGGAGTGTTGACTTGTCTCTCACTGGGGTGTGTGCATGTGTCTGTTTCCAGTGTCAGGCACCTACGATGCAACGATCCTGGATGCCAACCTTCCCTCCCATGTGTGGTCCTCCACCCTACCAGCGGGGTCCTCCATGGGGACCTATCACAACAACATGACAACCCAGAGCTCATCCCTCCTCAACACCAATGCCTACTCTGCAGGATCAGGTACCTGGAGGGCAGCCTACACCCTCTGTCACCCTGAACTCGGCATGCCTCTATCCTAGAGATGAATGACCCTCAGAACGTTTGCCATCCTCAGGGCCTCCTGGAGAGGCTTTCTGTGGCCAAACATCCCAGGAGACTCCCCCTGGAACTTCAGTTCAATTCAATCTAGAAGGTATTCTGGTGTGTCCCCTTTAGGACATATAGCACAGTGTATCAGGAAAAATTGGAAAGAACACTGAAAATGGATGTAGAAGATCTAGTTTCATTTCATATGAATTGACAGTGGGGCCTTGAATAAGTCATTTGACTTCTCTGAGCTTCAGGGACCATCTCTGTAAAGTGGGGTCACTCACAAGAGAGACTTTGGCTGGACCCACTGTCCACTCCAGGTCTGACAGACCTGAGATCACCTGTTGGCTGTGACCCAAGGTACAGTACAGGCTAGTGTTTGATTCTCTGCTGCAAAGCAAGAGCCTGTTTTTCCTAAGAACAAAAATTTCCCAAAATATAAAAACCCAATCCTGGCATTTCTTCTGGTGCTTCTATGGTATCCGAATCTCTATCCCTGTCTGGGCCAGATGTCCCTCTCACCAGCCTTCCTCCTTGCCCCTGCAGTCTTCGGAGTTCCAAATAACATGGCATCCTGCTCATCCACTTTGCACCCTGGACTCAGCACATCCTCCTCAGGTCAGTGTCACCATCTTGAGATGACTTTTCCAGGCTATTTGCATAGAAGTGTTAGGATGCTTCACCCAAGAGCATGAAGGACTTTCTTCTATGCATACTGCAGCCCAGAAGCAGAGGCACAGGGCTGCACAGAGCCTGCCCTCAACCACAGGGAGAACTTAGACCTCAAGGGAAAGGTCTCAGGCGAGGGGACGTGAGCCCACATTGACATGCGTATTCTAAGGTGGTACCTTTCTTTTCTGGAAGAGTTGGAGGATTGGAAATGAAGAGTCTAATGGAATCATAGTGTAGGACATTTTCAGGGTAAAGGCATTGTTAATTTAGAAGGATTTTATTTCAGATCTTTTAAAGAAAAATAGTAATTCATTGAGTAAATGCTTTCAGATCTTTCTATAAATATAGCACATAGTTTGTTGGAGTAACTACACTGGGGTAAATAATGTTACTACTTAGCTTCCAATGCAAACATACAACAATTTTAAAGAAATATTTATTTGCTATCTTTCCACATACATCTTAAAGGCCTATATGTAAATGTTACCAGCCTACATCTTTTCTTTTTAAAGGAGTCTGCCTTCTCCCTGTGATAATGTGACTAATAAATATAATGATGTGGGCCTTGTTTATTTACTTAACTGATATAGAGACAAGTACAAGTTTTGCATTCAGATTTTCAGCACCTTCCTCCAGTTAATTAGAGGCCCACCAAATCCAGAAGACATTGGCTACATGTTTTATTTCTTCTGCCTTTGCTATTTTGCTTTGCAAAGTCCTGATAAAAACCAGGCCCCAAGGGAAGGTGGGCTGATATCAGATCCTTGATCTTGTGCCCCAAATAGCAAAGCTGCTGGCCAGCAGGAATAAGCTTCTGCACGTTGTTGAAAACAAACAAACAAGCAATCAAATAAACAAGGAGCCTTTGAATTCATAGTGGAGGTGGGGGAGTTTTATGTGTTTGTGTCAGGAGAAGGAAGGGCTAACTGGAATACTAGGAGTTTGCCAAGTTAGTGCCTCTCAGCACCTGAGGTGTCTGTGTCCATATCCTATGCTTACAGTTCCCACACTGTGCACCAAGGCACCACAGGAAACAGGAACCCCTACGATATTTTTAAATTTTGAGAGATCTGTCAGCAACATCTGTCCGACCCTGTGCAAACTACTGCTTTTAACTTGGAGGGACCTAACTACGTGATAAGTAGAACTGTTAGTAATTTTTGGCCTGGGGTAGGTAGGTGGGGGTATTAACAAAATTACTATGTTACAAAGAGTGTGGGAACCGAGGAAGTTTTGGAATCTGTCAACAAAAGTATTGATCATAAAAGTGGTTTGGGACTCTGGGGGCCGTCCTAAGCCAGGGGGCATCCCCCGTGTTCCCTGTACTCACCTGACCTCTGTTACTTTCACAGTATTTGGCATGCAGAACAATTTGGCCCCCAGCTCGACTACCCTGTCCCATGGCACCACCACAACCTCCACAGGTCAGTAGGCTAGGGTTGGAGCTTAAGGGCTGAGAAGCAACACCTCTTTGCAGCTACAACTCACTGAATTAGGAGACCCAAAATGTCCCTGAAAATCAGTCAACCTTTCCCACCAAAGAAACAATACCTCCTGCCCTGAGATATCAATCTTGATCATTAACTGGCTCAGACATGAGTCAAGCACACAGGGAAGTCTGTCCCGTCAACAGCATCACCTTGTGAGGCATCACTTGTATGTTCCTGTGTCTCTCACAGTCGAACTGTTAGGTTGGTAGTCTCGCCAGCTCACTGCTCTCCTTGACAACCCACTGTCACTGCAAATCAATCTTCTGGTTGATTTTATGATGCGCCCCCTACAGGTTGCTGCCTCTGTGCAAACCTGGGGGTGGCTGGGGACATGAAACCTAGGTCAGCCTTTGCCCCCAACTTGCCTGCTACTTAATTGGCAGAGGAAGTCTAACACACAGGAGACAATGAGAGTCTCTATAAGACAATGGGAATAAGTGATAGGCCATGCAGAGCAGGTGTTAAGGGCTGTAGGAGTTCAGGAGAGAAGGAGATGCATGAGGATCTAGGAGGACTTCCTGGAAGCAGCTAGAAGGATGAGAAGGATTATACCTAAGAACATTCCATCTAAACCCTCATTACTGTTCCCATGACTGGAGAGAGTTGATTCATCATCTGCTTCTCACTGGAGAGGGTCGGGGGCACCTCTCTGCCAGGGGTGACCAGGCTTCTCCTGAGTTGCCTGGAACGACCCTCCCATGCTGACCCAGCTTCCTTTCTTGCAGCATATGGGGTGAAGAAAAACATGCCCCAGAGCCCTGTGGCTGTGAACACTGGTGTTTCCACCTCTGCCGGTGAGTGCTGCTCCCAGCTGCCGGGGTTCAGGCTGGTGCACAGGGAGGATTATTCTGCAGTAATCCTGCCTGTGTATCCTTCCAATACACGTGGTATACTGGAAGAGGAAATAGGACCCATGAGTTGTCTTAGACCTGCAAATGCAACTTGCCCCAAAGGCCTCTTAGATGTTTCCATGAGTGAATAAAGCTGAATATTCCCATGAATGTTCCTATCGGAAGGAAAGCTCCACCCTCCATACCTGCCTAGGGCCAGGCACTTGCACATTAGCCACTGCCCTTGACTGGAAGCCTTTGGCCCTTACCTGTTACATGCAGCTCATGGAGCCCTCAGAAGCTGCTGGCACCCTCCCTACTTTCTATAGAATCTATACCAACTTCATCCACATATTTCAGCACCATGCAGTGAGCTGTTTCCTCCATTGTTCTAATTCTGGTGTGTTGTCTTCCATTTGACAATTCATTTATTGGAAAGCCTTTACTGAGCACCTTCTTTGTGTCAGATGGACACTGTTCTAAGTGCTGACAGTACAGCGGTGAACACGACAGGATAGATTCCTGCCTTCACTAAGCTGACGTCAGTGGTGGAGGCAGATGACAAACACACAAAGTATGCAAGATAATTACAGAAAAGGATACAGATTTTAAGGACAGCAATAAGTGATGCGGTAGAGATAGGAGTGTGTGTATGAGGGTGAAGTGCTTTAGATGGCGTGGTCAGCTAAAGCCTCCCCAAGAAGGCAATGCTTAAGACCTAAAGGATAAAAATGAATCCAAGTTAGTTAAGGAAGGACTTGCCTGACTGGGGGACTTTTTCCCATTCAATAAAGATCCTGTAATCTCCAGGAGGGGAGGCAGCCCCCATAAACCAGCCATCCAGAGCTTCTGACATTGACCCAAACTCTTGGTGGCCAGGCCCAGCCAGGCATAGAGGGTGTCCTTGGTCCCCAAGATGCTTCGTAGTAACCACTGTCAGCAAGAACAGGAGACCCTCATACACACCTACTAATTTACCTTCCACCCCCCTTCTCTTTCTTCTCCTTCCTCTTCTTGTCTTTTCTCCCCTCTCCCTTCTCCTGGCACATGTCCTTCCTTCTCACCCATTTTCTTCCTCCCCAGCCTGCACCACAAGTGTGCAGAGTGATGACCTTTTGCACAAGGACTGCAAGTTCCTGATCCTAGAGAAAGACAACACACCTGCCAAGAAGGAGATGGAGCTGCTGATCATGACCAAGGACAGCGGGAAGGTCTTTACAGCCTCCCCCGCCAGCATCGCTGCGAGTGCGTCAGATCCCGTGTGGCTTGGGTTTCAGAAGAAAGGCAAATAGTGTAGGAGAACAAATGTCCTAGCATGGTGGTTTGGGACCCTATGAGTCATGAAACCACAGCCATCCCATTCTAATGAAAAGCACCTGTCTGAATAGTATGTTCCAGGGTCTGCCTTCAATGCAGATGAGCTAAGAAAATTCAGGCAAAGAGCTCTCAGAGAGGCATTTGGGTGACAGCAAGCCTAATGGCAAACACAGATTGGGGCAGATGAATCCCAGGAAAGAGGGGCTTTTCTTACCAGTCTAACCTTGACCTTCCCAAGCAGGGTAGTGAGAGGGGGGCGGGGGAAACATAGGCCAGAGTTGAGAGGTTGAGAAGAGAATATGCCAGGTTATAATGCGTTCTGTCCACAGCTGCTTTTTCAGAAGACACCCTAAAAAAAGAAAAGCAAGCTGCCTACAATGCTGACTCAGGCCTAAAAGCTGAAGCTAATGGTAAGAACAAATATGATTGTTGTCCACCTTGACTTCAGCCAGGCCACATTTCATTTCATTGTCTTTGGAGACCTTGCTACTCAAAGTGTGGTCCACGGGCCAGCAGCATCAGCCACACCTGGGAGTGTGTTAGAAAAGCAGGAGCCCAGCCCTAGTTCAGATCTACTGAGTCAGAAGCTGCATTTCAACAAGCTTCCCAGGTGATTTGCGTGTGCGCATTATTGGAGCAAAAGCCTGTCTCTGCCACGTCTACGATGGCATCTGTTTTCTCATTTTACTTGTTCTCCATAATCTTCAGAACTAATAGAAAAATGCTTTGCAAAGCGCTTGTTAGCTTTATTTTTTTTCTTCCCAAATATCTGCGTTCTTTGTCCGATAACCACATTTCTTCATGATGCCCTGTAGGACTCTCCAAATCACTGATTTCAGGGAGGTCAGTAAAGGAAGGAAAATGTTAAGTCATAGAACATTTTTAAATAAATGCCAATCAAATCAGTTATCAGTTTAACAAGGTAAGAGATTGAAACCTGACTGTAAGTCTTTTTTTTGAGACAGAGTCTTGCTCTGTCACCCAGGCTGGAGTGCAGTGGCGCGATCTCGGCTTACTGCAAACTCCACCTCCCAGGTTCCCGCCATTCTTCTGCCTCAGCCTCCTGAGCAGCTGGGACTACAGGCGCCCGCCACCACGCCCAGCTAATTTTTTGTATTTTTAGTAGAGACAGGGTTTCACCGTGTTAGCCAGGATGGTCTCGATCTCCTGACCT